AAAAAAAAAATAAAATAAAAAAAAGAGATGGCATATAGATCAAAAGTTAGGTTTAACATTGTTTGTTTATGTTTATTTAGATTTGTATACTGCCCTATCTCCCTTACGGGACTCAGGGCGGTAAACAGGCGATAATAAAAATCACAATAAATATCTATTCTAAAATCAAATTAAATAAATAAAGGCCTGCTCTAAAATACCCCATATAAACACCTATACTAAAACCTAATTAAGACTACGCCAGGCCAGCCGCACGAAATAGATGGGTTTTCAGGGCTCGGCGAAAAAGGCGCAGGTCCGCAGTTGTACGTAGGTCGGGGGGTAGGTCATTCCAGAGGGCAGGAGCTGCCACAGAGAAGGCTTTCCCCCTGGGGGTCACCAGCTGGCATTGACTGGCTGATGGCACCCTAAGGAGGCCCTCTCTGTGGGAGCGGACTGGTCGAAGGGAGGTATTTGGTAGGAGGCGGTCTTGCAAATACCTAGGTCCATTGCCATGGAGTGCTTTAAAGGTTGTTACTAACACCTTGAAGCGCCCCCGGAAGGCCACAGGCAGCCAGTGCAGCTCACGCAGGAGAGGTGTTACATGGGAGTATCTAGAGTCCCCCCAAATCCCCCGCGCGGCCGCATTCTGAACTAGCTGGAGCCTCCAGGTGCACCTCAAGGGGAGCCCCATGTAGAGAGCGTTGCAATAGTCCAGGCGGGAAACAACGAGGGCTTGAGTGACCATGCATAGAGCGTCACGATCCAGAAAGGGGCGCAACTGGCATATCAGGCGAGCCTGATGAAAAGCCCCCCTGGCCACGGCTGTCATATGATCGTCTAAAGACAGCCGAGTGTCCAGGAGGGGCTTGATAAGATGTGAACTTGATAAGACAGATTAAAGATCAAAGCAGAGCTCATATTAGGAGAATATATAGTGTTTTGATAGAGTTTGATTCAGAAACAGAATTAGTTAAAGATTGTATGATTAAATGGGCTCAAAATATTCAAGAACCAATTATGTTAGAAACATGGGAAACAATTTGGGTAAGAAATGTCAAGTTCACTCAAGCACAGAATTTAAGGGAAAAATTTTATAAAATGTTTTATAGATGGCATTTGGATCCCCCAAAATTGTCTTGCATGTACCCGAACTTGCAGCCAAAATGTTGGAGATGTGGTAATTTGGATGCAACTTATTATCATATCTGGTGGACATGTAGGGATGTTAAAGCCTTTTGGATTAAGATTTGGTGGAACCTTCAACAGATTTTTAAGAAAAAGATAAAATTTTCACCGCAATTATTTTTATTGGGCATCATGGATAATTTGGATTCAAAAGAAATGAACTTGATGTTGTACTGTATAACAGCAGCAAGGACATTGATTGCTCAAAATTGGAAAAAGGAGATATTATCGACTATGGATGATTGGAGACAGAAAATCTCATACTTTGCAGAAATGGCAAAAATATCCGCATACCTGAAGGATCAGTCTCAAGAGAAATTTATTTTGGTATGGAGAAGATGGATAGATTATATTCAGAGAAAATATGAAATGAACAATTATCATATAGCCTTTGATTAATTATTGTTATTTATAAATATTTTTATATATAATTTTTATATATAGTTTATAGTTAAGTTGATTATTGTATATTAGAGTTATAGTAAGTTTATACTTGTTTATATTATGAATGGGTTGTTTGGGTTAGATTTGGATTATTATGTGATTATTCCTGTACTCAGTTCTGGGAAGTCCGGGGGGGAGGGGAGAATGAGATTAGGGGATAAAAATTATAAAAATTGATGTATTTATATATTATAGGTAAATAATGGAATTGTATTAAAAAGAGGAGATGCTCGGCTGGTTCCCCAAACTGCACTCGATGAGGTGGTTAAGAAGGGAGATGGGATGTAGGGAGGTGGAAAGGAGGAAAGAGGAGAGGTTGTGGGTTTAGGGGGAGGAAGGAAGAGGAAAGTGAATGAGGGTGGAGGCAAGGCAGGGACTGCCGAGCGTCTCTGAACACGTATTGAGTAGGATTATCTTTTTTGCTTGTGTAAGTAAATGTATCATATTTGTATTATTTATTTTTTAATTTCAAAAATTAATAAAAATTTTATATATATATAAAAAAATTCTCAGCTCCATTCAGTCATCCCAATTCCACCCGGAATAAAGGGACTACAGGGTCATAAAAAGAAAAAAAAAGCACATACAGTAGGTACACTATGTGAATTTAGTACTTGAGAATATTAAAATCTTTATCACAGAAGAATCCATGTAAAAAATGGGATCTCAATAGATGTTACAATTGCAAATACAATCATGGACTGTATTAGGTAGAAAATAACAGTTCTTTAAAGGAGAAAAAGGTTTGAACTTTGGTTGCACAACTGGTTCAAAAAGTCTTGGATGAAGCAGATTACCTGGATCTTTTCTATCAGGACTGAGGCCAAGATATGGAGAAAAAATGGTATTGATTGCATTTTTGGGTGATCTCTGGCATGGGTGGAATGTGGGTTGTACATCCATTCTTGTCCTACTTGACATCTTGGTGGCTTTCAGTCCAATTGATCATTGTGTCCTTCTGGATCAGCTCAGAGGATTGGGGCTGGGTGGCATGGTATAATTCTGGTTTTCCAATTTTCTTCAAGGTCCATTATGGGTGGTAGAGAAAGAGGACTAGAGGTCTTCTCCATGTGGAGGGACATAAAGCAGCTCTCCAATGGATACAGTATATGATGGGATTCCTAAAAACAAGTACCAGGTATCAACTCCAATCAGAACAATCGCCTTGCCCTGATTACAAATCCCCTCCAGGTAGATTTGGATCAGGTTCTGCAGATTAACCTAATCAATCTGTTGTGTTATTCATATCACAATGTAACAAGGCCTACAAAGTACAAATGGAGCAATGTTCTATTCCCAAAATATCCTGGGAAGTGATGTTAACAATCCTTCATTTTATTACATAAATACATTTTGTTAGTGCTTCTAGTGAACCTTACATGACCACAGAAACATATTTTGCTTGAAAAATGGAAAATAAGCAAAGTTTTATTATTCAAAGTGTAGCTTTGATATGAATTGAAGTTTACCTCTGAACTGTTCCAATTATTATGTCACAAAGAGAAAATAAATTATGAAATACTAAATTCATATACAGTATATATATACACACACACACATACACACACACACACACACACACACATATATATATATATATATATATATATATATATATATATATATATATATATATATATATATATATATATATACACACACATGCACAGACACATATACATACACACACATATTGTCAAAAATGGGAGACAAAATGTTGAAGACATAATTATCTCCCCATTGAAATTATTTCAATGATAATAATTTTCTCCCTTCATCAAAACTGTAAACAATTCAAGAAGACATTATAGAAAAGAAAAAAAAATATTGAAAAGGAGTGTCCCGTAGAGACTGGAGAGTAGAAGACAAGAACACACAAGTCCTATGGTTTCAATTCTCATAAATTAATTTGTGTTACTGGAACTCTACATTGTCATTAAGACCTTTTCCAATACTATCACTAATTGCAAGAAGAATCAGGGTGAAAAGTTAGTCTTCAGCGTTGCCCTTAAAGGAATTTTGACGCTGGTGAATGCAGTTTAACACAGAAAGCTGCTCCTGGTGGAACATCTATACTTAGAGCGCAGTTGTTGCCTAGAATGTTCTTTTTTCTCCTATTTCTACTCTTCAGAATGAAGTCTCTGCTGTGTCATCCAGGTGAACCCATACCTGTTCCAAATGAATGGTACCAGCAAGGGGACTTTGTCATTGGTGGGATGGTATCTATGGCTAGCTATCACTTTAATGAAGTTTCATTTCAGCAGCATCCCTCTCAGGAGTATTTTGGCCATCCAGAGTAAGGAATTCTTATCTTTCATCTTTATAAGAATTTTATAAAGGCATTGCTTGTTTTTAACGCAACAAAATTTTATATTAGAAAAACTTTAGACTAGGAAAGCAATTCTTATCATTCACCTTAGTGTCATCTCTAGTTAGAGGAATTGCAATGAATGAAGGGAAAGGTAGATTATTTTCTTTGATTCCATCTGCAACAATGGAAATATTTTAGTGTAGATGAATTGGAAATAGAATTCAATTGGCCATTCCTCAATTGTACATGTGTAAAGCACCTCTCTGGGGTGCCAGGAAAATCATAAGGAAATATTTAATGATACGTATAAATTCATCCTGTTTTCAGCGTGCTAACAAAGTTTTACCAACATATCCTTTCCTTGGTCTTTGCTGTGAAGGAGATCAATGAGAATTCAGAAATCTTGTCCAATGTCACTCTTGGCTTCTATATTCATGATAGCTACTACAATGCAATAATGACGTATCGGACTACCCTGGACCTGCTCTTCAGATCAGAGAGATTTGTCCCCAACTATAAATGTGACACTAGGAGAAATCTCATTTCTATCATAGGAGGGCTCAGCTTTGGAACTTCCTCCTATATCGCAGATCTGGTAAAGTTTTACAAGATTCCACAGGTAGGGTCTTTGGGAAGAGAGGCCTAAAAATTACCCCCTCTTTTTTTTTTCCAAACTGGGATTATTGAAACATCCTTATTATCTGGCCACATTACTCAACAATCTGACAAAATTTGTAAGATAATATGAAGAAAAAGATATTGATGATGATCTATTTCCATAATATGTGTTTCTTTTAGCTCACATATGGGTCATTTACCCCACAAGATGTTCATAGCACTGAGATTCCATTCTATTACTCCATGGTTCCAAATGAGTCCTCACAGTACATTGGGATTATCCGACTGCTTCAACATTTTGGGTGGAGATGGGTTGGGCTCCTTGCTATTGATAACAGTCAAGGAGACCATTTTCTGCAGAGCATGGAGTCCCTCTTTTCCCAGCATGGAATCTGCTCTGCTTCTACAGAAAGAATCCCATTTTTAACCTACTGGGACAAGATTTTTGAAATGTTCATAAAAGGGAAAAATATTTATAAACACATAATTGATGAGAAGACCAACACCTTCATCATCTGTGGAGAATCTTTGACAATTGCATGGTTGACAAATATAATTTTTGCACTTGATCCTGGACATGAGCAGAGTTCCTTTGGAAAGGTATGGATCATGACTGCCCAGATGGATTATTTATTAACAGGAATGAATAAAAAATGGGATCGTCAGTTCTTCGATGGTGCCATTTGCTTTAAAGTTCACTCAAAAGAAATTCCAGGATTCAAGGAATTCTTGAAGTTCATAAAACCTCCTTGGATTCAAGGAGATAATTTTTTTCCACTTTTCTGGGAACAAGTATTTGATTGTTCATTACCATCCCCTTCTTTGACCAAACTGGACAATTCCATTTGTACTGGAGAGGAGAGGCTAGAGGACATTCCTGGGGCTCTTTTTGAGGTAGAGATGTCTGGGCACAGCTATAGTATCTACAACGCTGCCTCTCTATTGGCTCAAGCTTTACATGCTCTCTTCTTACTTCGATGTAATCACAGGCATTTTTTGAGGCACAAATTATCAGAATATGAAGATTCACAACCATGGCAGGTGATTTGTGTGCTACAAGTATTTTGTACTAGATAATAGCAGAGTACAAACTTAAGGTGTATGATTCCAACAGGGAAGTGGCAGCTACTGAAATGGATTTGAACATTTGTCTATTGATGATATTTATTTGCATACCTTTATTTTCAACCCTGTAAATGTGGGAAATGCTGCATGAAGAGGGGATCTGATGTGATGGACAATAGTGAAATGGCAATTTTCTTAGAGGAGGGGACACATTTCAGGAATGATTTGTGGGGAGAGAAGAGGCTGTACAGCCTCAAACTCTGAGGTGACAGAGGAATACCCTAGAATCTCTCAGGTTATATCTCTCAGGGTATTTAGTATGGGAAGATTTTACCTACAGTGTGTAAGCAAATGAAAAACTTGGCTCAATTTTTCTACATCAATATAATAGAATGTAATATAATGTAATGTAATGTAATGGAATGGAATGTAATGGAATGGAAGGGAAGGGAAGGGAAGGGAATGGAAGGGAAGGGAAGGGAAGGGAAGAGAAGAGAAGAGAAGAGAAGAGAAGAGAAGAGAAGAGAAGAGAAGAGAAGAGAAGAGAAGAGAAGAGAAGAGAAGAGAAGAGAAGAGAAGAGAAGAGAAGAGAAGAGAATCTGGAAGGGACATTGAAGGTCTTCTGGTCCTGCCCCCTGCTCAAGCAGGAGAACCTATACCATTTCAGACAAGTGACTGTCCTGTCTCTTCTTAAATATCTCCAGCAAGGGAGCGCCAACAATTTTTGGAGGCAAGCTGTTCCATTGGTTAATTGTCCTCACTGTTAGGAAGTTCCTCCTTAATTCCAGGTTGCTTCTTTCTTTTATCAGTTTCCAACCATTGTTTCTTGTGCTTTGGAGAATAATTTTACCCACTCTTCGTTGTGGGAGCTTCTTAAATACTGGATTACTGCTATCATGTCACCCCTGTTTCTTCTTTTCTTTAGACTAGCCAAACCCAAGACGTGCAACTGATCTTCATGTTTTAGTCTCCAGGCCTTTGATCATTTTACTTGTAGTTCTCTGAATGGTTTCCAAAATCACAACATATTTTTTGTAGTATGGTGACCAAAATTGGTTGCAGTATTCCAGGTGTGGTCCTACTAGGGTTTCATAAAACGGTACTAATACTTCACATGATCCTGATCCTATGCCTTTGTTTATTTAACCCAGGATTGTATTGGCTTTTTTTGGCTGTTGCTGTACATTGCTGGCTCATAGTTGTGTGATCATCCACTAGGACTCCAAAGTCATTCTTACAATTTCTGTTGTTGAGCCAGGTCTCACCTAATCTGTACTTACTGTATATCTTTGATTTTTCCTGCCTAAATGAAAACATTTCTCCACATTAAAACTCATTTTGCTGGATAGGGCCCATTGTTCCAGTTTGTCAAGATCTTTTTGAATACTGTGCTTGTCTTCTGGGGTATTGGCTATATTTGCCAGTTTAGTGTCATCATTCTTGGGCTTAGGTTCGAAGTAACATGTTTTCTATTTTAGCCCATGAGCCTAGTAAAGTAAACTTAGAGTTTATGACCCAAAAAGGGAAGAAAAAACTATAAGATGAATTTGAACATTAGTCCATTGATAACTATAATAGTATACCTTCATTTCTATCACTGTAATATGGTTTATTACCTGATCATCTTCAGATGAAAGAACTAAGGTTTAAGTGAACTAACATCCAAATCCTGGTTTTCAAATCTTTATGGCTTTTTAGTAATTTTATCTTTTTCTGAAAATACTTGAGGAATGCTGCTTAGCTGAGCCAACTATCTTTCAGCCTTACCATTTCCTTAGGAGCCGTATAATTGTGAAAATGTTATGCAATGAAAAATGGGTGGGATGTCAAAAACAAATCTGGAAATTGTTTCTCTAGTTTTTCATATATCTCTTCCTAGTCAACATGAAGGATTGGGTTCTAAAAGATATACAGTAGAAGGCTAGAAGTACACTTTACATTTCATTTGATTATTATTCAAACTGAAATATCAGATCCTTCTTGTTATCCCCAAGTACAAAGGATAGGAAAAAAGTTCTCAAGAGGCTGGAGAAATGGACTTTGCATGTTTTCAGAGTTTCTCACTCAAAAGTATAGTACTACTTTGATAAAAATTGCTTATAATTTCTATTTTTTTTATTTTCCTTTTTTATTATTTTGAATCATATAGCTCCACCAATTTCTGAAAGGCATGAAATTCAACAATTCTCTTGGAGAAACATTGACTTTTTATGATCAAAAGAAGATGGAAGGTGGATTTGATATCATAAACATTGTTGTCTTTCCCAATTCCACTTTCCAGAGACACAAGATTGGAAAAGTGGATCCTGATGCTTTAAAAGGAAAGGAATTAGTCATTAATGAGGATATGATTGTTTGGCATAGATCATTTAACCAGGTATGGTTTCAACAATATTTTGTCTGATCATTCAAATATGGATTCATTAAATTGGCATATTTACTTTTATCCTTCTTGGCCACCCATGAAGATAACCAGATTAAGAAATAACTTTTTTCCTCTCTTTAATTATTAAAGGCTAAATATATCTGGTATTCTGCACTATATTTATTAGACTTTTCTCATATATTGAAATGTAAATGAGAAATAAAAAAACCCATGCTTTTAAGGGACTATATTTCTCTAGTTGAATGAAGGTTTATCAAACCTGTGTTCAAATCAGTGACTAATTGACTCAATGTTTCTGGTCAATCTGATGATTTCAATTAATAAAACTTTAATTAAATTGATATGAGAATTTCAAAATAACAAAAATTGGAAATCCAGATCTGTTGTGCTCACAAAATTAAATCAGAGGACAAACTGAAATGTGTAACAACAGAATTTTCTTCAAAACAATAAATGCTCATCTTCCAACATTTTAATATTGATAAAAAGGTGCTTCCCATTTCTCTATGCAATGAACATTGTCTCCCTGGTTATCAAAAGAGGAAGAATGAAGGAAAGAAATTCTGCTGTTATGATTGTGTTGAATGTACAGAGGGGAAAACCTCTGAAGAGATTGGTAAGTTTACAAATTATTCAATTTTGTTGTTATACTGTCTAGTGTGCTGAACACTTTCTGCTAATTAAATTGTCTGGTTTTTCATGAATAAGGATTTATTTTTGGAAATTAATGGGGGAATGAAATAAAATCAATTAATAAATGAATAATTGTAAGTTCTTACAATGGAATTACAAGGGTTGATCACAATAACAACAATGTTTCAATTAATTAATTAAACAAATCCTTGAATGATTTATAACCAAGCAAGAATCATAGGAGAGATTCAGAAAATTTTCACTGAAGAGAATCTATGCACACCGAAAAAAGTAATTATTTCATTGTTTTTTTTAAAGATGAGAAATAAGAAACCACAATAACATGACTGTGCGATTTAAAAGCTACATGTAAAACAATGACTGTGAAGGTGGAGAGGAAGGAAGGAAGGAAGGAAGGAAGGAAGGAAGGAAGGAAGGAAGGAAGGAAGGGAGGGAGGGAGGGAGGGAGGGAGGGAGGGAAGGAAGGAAGGAAGGAAGGAATTTAGAATTGATATCTTTTGCTTTTACTATGAAATCCAAAAGTCTCAAATGTGCACTAACTAAATAGGGACACTCTTGAAATATAATAATGAAAACAAGAATTTCTGAAATTTAGGGAAATAAGTATTTACTTCTTAGGAAGATTGGACAAACTAATGAAACATATCTCTTAACAATAATGAGAATCTTATAGATGTTATGAGGAATATGGTTAAAACAGTCCCTACTTTAATTTGTAATAACATTTTCCTTTCCAAGCAGTCAGTTTATTTATTTATTTATTTATTTATTTATTTATTTATTTATTTATTTATTTATTTAAATATCTATCTATCTATCCACTCATCCATCCATCCATCCATCCAATTGTGCATAGTTTTGCTTTTTTGAGAAATACTTATTTATATTTTCTCCACAGTGTGTAGTTCTCTTGGATATGTAATATAATGCAGACTGATTCCAATATTCTCTTTAGGGGGTAAACACAAGAAATGAAATTTTAAAAGAAACATAGAAAGAAAACAAAAATAGTGATATTAAATAAAAAGGGATACAGTATATACTTCTCTTACAGAAACAGAAAATCCCTTTTCCTTTATAATTTCCCCTTCAAATATGTAATTACTAACCTTTTTACAATTTCCTCCTTCAAACATTATCTTTCATCTTTCACTTTGAATTTGGTGAAAGTATTACACTTATGTACCATAATTTGAATATTGTTCAATATTCAAAAGTCAATATCGTTTCAAATATGAAAATGATCACTTTGGGTATTCATGAATCTTTACTGGAGCACTCCTTTATTATAAGAAAGCAAATCAAGATAAAATGGATTTTCATGACATTTGTGAAATTTATTTGTGTATAATCAAAGAAATATTTGACTTAATGCCACAACACAAAAAATATACATAGAGAGATGTTCAAATGAATTTTCATATTGTAGATTCTATCTTTTGTACCAAGGACATAAACATCAGGGTGTGGATAATTATGAAAATTAATAATTATATTCTTACGAATCTGCCTTGCCATTTTTTTCCTTCTAGACACTGTTGCTTGCTTTCAATGTCCTGATGATCAATATGCAAACCATAAGAAAGATGGATGCATCATGAAAACAATTAGCTTCTTATCTTATGAAGAACCTTTAGGACTCAGTTTAGTCACTGTTGCTACTTTATTTTTCTTCACTACAATATGGGTGTTGGGAATATTTATTAAGCACAAAGACAGTCCTATTGTGAAAGCCAACAACCGGGATCTCACCTACACTCTCCTCATCTCCCTTCTGCTTTGCTTCTTCTGCTCTTTGCTCTTTATTGGACAACCTGGGAGAGTCACCTGTCTTTTTAGACAGTCTGCATTTGGTCTCACCTTCTCATTGTCCATCTCTTGTGTGTTGGCCAAAACCATCCTTGTTTCTCTTGCCTTCAAGGCCACCAAGCCAGGATCTCAGATAAGGACGTGGGTGGGGAAAAGACTGGCTGTTTCTATTGTCCTTCTCTGCTCTCTACTCCAAGCAAGTATCTGTATTGTTTGGTTATCCACCTCTCCCCCATTTCCAGAGTTAGACATACACTCAAGAATTGAAGAAATGGTTCTACAATGCAATGAAGGCTCAGTCTTTATGTTTTATTGTGTTCTGAGCTATATGGCTCTCCTTTCACTTGCCAGCTTCATTGTGGCATTCCAGGCTCGTAAACTGCCTGACAGCTTTAATGAAGCCAAGTTCATCACCTTCAGCATGTTGGCTTTCTGCAGTGTGTGGGTCTCCTTTGTTCCAACGTACCTGAGCACCAGAGGAAAAGCCACAGTGGCTGTGGAGATATTTTCCATTTTGTCCTCTAGTGCTGGGCTTCTAGCATGCATCTTTTTCCCCAAATGTTACATTATTGTATTTAGACCTAATTTAAACAATAGGGATCAACTGATAAGAAGACATGTTTAAAAACCTTTTTGATTTTGTTTTTAAGTTGAGAAGAGAAATGTCAAAATCCAATATTTTAAATATATTCTTATAGTGTGGAGAGATTGTTTAGCATTTTGATTTACTTGTAGCTCTGAAACCTGAATTTATGAAAAATTCTGTCAAATTATGGTTTCCCCCCACAACTTTCAAAGAAGGATCACAGAACGTAGTGGGGAATACTTATATGTTTTGAAGTAAACCAGAGAAAAACCTGATTTCTATTAGCAGTTCAATATGTGAATTCTAGTTTCAGTAGGTCAATAAACACATTTCTTTTATAATGAAGAAAGTGCATAAGAATACAATTTTTGCTCTTAAGTTTGTTCTTTTTATTTATTATGTTATTAGTTATTATAAGAAAGCACACATTTTAATAAAGTTAATATATTTGTCATCGTGAATAATTATTCCAAGGATTTTACCCCATCTAACTTGACAATTTTCTTTTTGAGTCAGGACAAGATATGAAAATAAGTCACATATGTGGATCTATTAAGAATTTTCTTTTAGTTTTTCTGCTTCCTTTTTACAGGGGTACATGCTCCCCATCTCTTTCTTTCTTTTTTTATAAATATTTTATTAGATTTTATAAGGATAAAGGGGAAGTGGGGTCAATGGGGGTATAACAAGGGGTGACAAACAAAAAGAGTTAAACCAAGGGAAGGGATAGGTATAATAGTGGGGTTATCCCCACAATAAGTCAACGCTTTAGCAAGTAAACCCATCCGGTTATACCTATTCAGTCCTAATAATTAATATAAAATAACCATACTTAATATAATATTACTAACATATTGCTAATAAATTATAATAACATTAACATATTGGTGTATTACTTATTAGTTATAATTACTTGTTATTAAAATCACAAATAGAAAGGGGAAGAATTCATAACAATAGACATAGAATTTAAATACAAAATAACAATTATCCCATTAAGTTCCATAAACTTTTCTCATTCTATCGTGTTGCTATCCATTGGTAAAATTTATCCCATGTTTTAAAGTAGATTGAGTCTTCTTTTTCTTTCATTTCTAAAGTTAATATGTCCATTTCAGCACATTCAAGTATTTTTATTATTATAATCTGGTCAGATGCTAGCTTTTCATTTTTCCAGAATTGGGCAAATGCTATTCTTGCAGCTGTTAGTACATGTAAGAATAGATACTCATTCTCCTTTCCGTAATTAGATCCTAATATTCCTAACAAGCACAGTTCCGGTTTAAATTCTATCTTTATTTTCATCATCTTTTCTAACCACATATGAATCTTATGCCAAAATTTCTTGGCATTGGGGCATATCCACTAGAGATGGTAGTAAGTGCCTGGTTTTTGTTTACATTTCCAACAAGTATTTGATATGTTTTTTAAAGATTTTCTCTAATCTAACTGATGTCATATGCCATCTATAAAACATTTTGTATAAATTTTCCTTATATGCAGCTGCTTTAGTGAGTTTAATATTTCGATCCCAAAGCTTTTGCCAATCTTCTAGGTCTATGGAATATCCAAAATTCCTTGCCCACACTATCATTGTTTCTTTTACTTGTTCTTCTTCCATCTTCCAGTTTAACAAAAATTTATATAGTTTCTTGATCAGATTTTTGTCTCTTTTTAAGAGTATTTTATCTAATGGTGTATGTTCTTTGTAGAATCCCATTAATTTTACATCTTTCTCATATCCTGTTTGAATCTGCAAGTAAGACCACCATGTTAGTTCGATACCATGTTGTTGAATAGCTTGCCTATCTTTAAGTTTTCCATCTTTATCTAGAATATCTTTATATATAACAAGTTTATCATAGTTAATTAAGTTTGGATAAGTGAACGCTTCCATCGTTGAAAGCCACTCAGGTATTTTCATATAAATTTTATGTTTAATTCTCTCCCATTCTAAAAGTAACACATTCCTTATGGCATGGGTTTGAAAGTATTTATGTACTTTATTTTTCTCATACCATAAAAATGCATGCCAGCCCAGTTGCAAATCATGTCCCTCTAAATAGAGAAGTTGTTTGTTTCTCAGCGTAATCCATTCTTTAAGCCAAAACAAAATAGCTGCTTGATAATAAAGTCTCCAGTCCGGGAGCCCAAAGCCCCCTCTCTCTTTAGATTCTTGTAGTAATTTAATTTTAATTCTTGCTTTTTTTCCTTGCCAAATAAATCTCGTTATTGTTGCATTTAGATTATCAAAAAAATTCTGGTTTAATTTGACGGGAACTGTCTGAAATAAAAAAAGGATCTTAGGTAAAATGTTCATCTTAACAGTCGCTATCCTTCCTAACAATGATAGTTGAAGGTTTTTCCACTTTTCCAGATCTAGTTTTATTTGTTTCAATAATCTTTCATAGTTATCCTTTTTTACTGTTATATATTTTGATGTTAAATAGATACCTAAATATTTAAATTTTTTGGCTATCTGAAGATTTGTCTTTTTAACAAGTTGAAGCTTCTGTTTCTCTGTTAGATTTTTTGTAAGTACTTTAGTCTTTTCCCTATTTATTTTCAACCCAGCCACTTTTCCAAATTTCTCTATTTTCTGCAAAAGTTTAGTAGCTGTTTCCAGTGGCTCCTCTGAGATAAAAATCAAATCGTCTGCAAAGGCCTGTAATTTATATTTCTGATCTTTTATCTCCAATACTTTAATCTCTGAATCTTGTCTAATATTCCTAGCCAGCACTTCAAATGAAAGAATAAATAACAAGGGAGATAGAAGGCATCCCTGTCTTGTGCCTTTTTTAATATCAAAACTGTCTGTATGATCTCAATTTAAAAGTATCCTTGCTGATTGTTTGTTATAAATTGCTTGGATTGCGTTTATAAAGTTTCCAACAAAGTCCATCTCTCTCAATTGCTGGAACATAAATTGCCAATTGAGATTATCAAAAGCTTTTTGTGCATCCAAAAATATAAGTGCCATTTTTTTCCCCGGATACTTTTCATAATATTCCAACACATTCAAAATAATCCTTAAGTTATTCTTTATCTGTCTTTTAGGCAAAAAGCCATTTTGGTCTGAATGAATAAATTCATTCAAAACTTTCTTCATTCTTTCCGCAATAATTGCTGTAAATATTTTATAATCCACATTTAATAATGACATTGGTCTCCAACCTTCGCTTTGTGGCGAAGGTTGTTGAGAGTGTGGTTGCGCAGCAGTTCCCTCGACACCTGGAGGAAACAGTCTATCTGGACCCGCTCCAGTCGGGCTTCAGGCCGGGATACAGCACGGAAACGGCATTGGTCACGTTGGTGAATGATCTCTGGAGGGCCCGGGACAGGGGCTATTCCTCTGTCCTTGTTCTTTTGGACCTCTCGGCGGCTTTTGATACCGTGGACCACGGCATCATGCTGCGACGGTTGGGTGGGTTGGGAGTGGGGGGCACTGTTATGCGGTGGTTCTCCTCCTTCCTCACCGACCGTACGCAGTCTGTATTGGCAGGGGGACAGAGGT